TCATTCTGCTTGACGAACAGTGTACATTTTTAACTGAAATGTAAGCATATATGCTTACACTAGTTACAAATACAGTACAATACAATACAATTTCCTGATAGTCCGGACTGATTCCACCATAGTTACGCGGTATTATTCCTTACTCAAAACGATTGGTTATTTGAATTGATTGATTCATGAGTTAGATCATCATGACTTGAGCACGTATCTGATAAGTTCTATTTTTTATTTTGAAATTATTGCACAAAATGTAATCAGATTACGTTAAATCGATGTCTCTTTTCTTACACTGACTGGAATTAAGTTCGTCTCTACGTTATTATAAAACAGTCATAACCGTTTGTCAGTCAATTTAATTTTAGCTTGAACCAATAAATATCACTCGCTTGACCGAGCCATCGCTTAGACCGTTTCTCATGTGGATTTTTGTACACACCACGTGGTCATCTGTCCCAAGATTGTCATTCAGCATATAGAACTATGCGTTGGACAATTCGATGAACCTGATGTTCTCCCACGAGGGTAGGGGGGGTCGGGCGGGGATGTGTCGGGAATGAGGAAGAGCGAGATGTTGAACTTCATTGTGTATGGGACACGTGGCTGACACGTCCGGGTAGTGGTAAAGTCGATCGGCCGTTTCCGGTTCACGCTAAACCAATCAAATCAGAGCAAGCCGATTGTGGTGGTGGTGGTGGTGGTGTGGGGGATGAAATGGACTACTACTACTACTACTGGTAACCTGACTGGGGAACAGAGACAATGGTAGCAGTTAGCCAAACATGGGAGAGAGAGAGATAGAAGTACAAACGTTCCGCTGTTCGTTGATTGGTCAGTTTCGGATTAGGGAGTGAGACGAAGTTGGAAGATGCTGACCGTGTCCCACCGTGGTCCCAAATACCGTCTCCCCAGGTACCATCGGCAGCTAATTTCAACTGAACGGGGGGAAATAAACACATACACACACACACACACACACAAACACAAACACACGACCGTTTTAGTAATATCATATTTTACTACGAGCAAACTCAGTTAGAACAATAACACACCAAAATAAGCAGTCGTTCGGACAATGTATTCTCTGCATTGTAGAGAATTTCATGCAATGGATTCTTTCAGGGATCTATCAAGTATGGTATTGCCAAGTAAGTACTTATTTCTCTGTTCGTTGGACAGAATAGGGTTCTAACAACCGAAACCGACCTAACACTGTGTGTTATTTTTCTTCGGTCAAATAGTTGATTAAAATGATTCACAAACAAATATATTTGCATATTTTATGATCATCATATCTATTGGAATAACAAAAATTGAATCTCGTCACTCGTACCTTATTGATGATATGTGAACATTTCTTGATCAGTCGAGCGCACATGATCATCTCCACTCCACAGTCAAACGAAGGCAGAACAACGCTGGAGTTGACCAAAGCATTCTTTCTTACTCAAATTTTGCTTATTTCAACTCATTAAAGTGTCGCTTATTTGAAAGGTAAAACAAGTCTAATCCCTAATATTATCTAAAATTTTGGAAATTTCAATTGATAAACTATTTTATGATTCAAAATTTGTATAAGTATTGCACTTTATAGTTGTGTCGATTATGAGTCAATCAATATTTATGAGAACCCGATAGAACAAGAGACTGCTTACCTTTAATCTCCGGGCTAGATATAAACTGATATAATTAGTTCCTAATTTTCAGATGGTTCCTACACGGATTCATGCTTACCCTTACGGACTCCATATCAGCATCGGTTCGCAGTCTCCAACTGGACCAATCCGTACGACCCGTTGCAAAAGTTGCATTCTGTACCAGGAAACCCGTCATCATCATCGATGCTCAATACGCGATCCTATCCCACGCACACGTCATCCACACATCCCCCTCATGTTCACAGTGTCGGATGTTATTCGGATCGTGAACCCACTCCGTTTGTTTTAAGCCGGTCATCAACCGACGCGGGAAATGAGAAGATCAAGAGTGCCACATCCAACCTGCTCGATCGAGTACGAACTCCAAGTCGAAATTGTTCCGCAGTGAGTGGAACAAGTCCCTTACTGATTAATGGTGAACAGAACGGTTCAGCCGGTTCGGGTTTTATGGAACCATCCAGTCCCCAGACAAGTCCGTTTCGATTTGTGTTCGATGACGAACCAAATCATCCCGGAATGGTCCCGTTCAACCGAACAACTCCCTATTTAAATCCATTCAAAAGTGGTACTTTGTCGATTGATGAACGCCGATGCGAACAGCAGGTCTACTCATCTCATCTATCCACAGACCCGTTAGATTTGGCCAATTCGGATGCATCACGTGATCTCGCCAGTGGTCACATATTCTCCGGCTTTCCCACACGTGCGAACAATAAGTACAAACGCGCACACCCGTACGAATCGACTGACGTAAACTGTTCCAACCCATTCAGTTTGCCGATTCTGGATGTCACTCGATCGGCAGTCTGTCAGACAGGGAATTCTGGTAAGTAGTATATCGTTCATGAGTTTCATTTTATCGCAATTAGGATAGCTATGAAAAATATCATTAAAATTAATGATACTCAAAAGGAAATCTTAAAGGAAGAGTATAGAACAGCGTACAAAGTTTCTCATCATCTGTACAAACTTTCATGCTCATTATAGTCGTAGAAAAATCAATGAAAATCGTTGACTTGAATTTTCATTACGCATCACATGAAACTGAGTTTCGAACAGACACCTATTGATCAGTAAGGGATAGAAAAGTAACCTTTTTTCTGATGGAACCATTGAGACTGATGCCCCAAATTATAAACCGGGTTTTTTTTCTGTCATGTTGCGCCCGCTGAGTTACAACGAAATCTGTTTTGAGCATAAATTAGTTCGAATGCTCAAAAGTGATGATTTACTGATTGTATTTGGTGCTACCTCTGGATTCCATCAAGGAGGATTGGTTAAATATATGCTTGTTTACTAAGTACCGTATTGCGTGCACTCTTATTTCATAAATGAAAAAGAAAATGCTCTCGGAAAAGTGCACCTTATTTCAGTCCTCCCGAACTATGGTCGTAGTAATCGGGTTTATTGGGCTTGCGAAATTTTCAACAGACTATGAATGATGGAAGTTATTTGCCTCTCGATCAAAAACAAAACGAAAACAGATCGAAAACATGTGAACGCAATGTAGATAAATGCATCAACAATTTTGATCAATTACCCTTACCGCACCCATT